CCTCAGGGGAAGGCAATGGCAAACCTCCTCTGAACCAGTCTTGCCAAGGATAGGGTTGCCTTAGGGTTGCCATAAGTAGGCAATGACTTGAAGCCACACCAGAAAAAAGAACCAAATTTCAAGAAAGAGCCAGTGTGGTGTAGTGGTTTAAGCATTACATTGTCACCCTGGAGACCAGGGTTTGAACCCCCGCTTGGCCCTAAAAACCCACTGAGTGATCTTAGGCAAGTCACATTCTCTCAGCTTCAGAGGGAGACACTGGCTAAACCACTTCTGAATAAATCTTGGCAAGAAAACCCTGTGGCAGGCTTCCCTTAGGGTTGGCACACGTCAGAAACAACTTGAAGGCAATTATTGAAGGCACACAACAATAGCAGTAACACCACTAACTGCAGTCACTCCTCCGTCCTCGGTTGCCCATTCCAAAGGTGGCCGGGGCCTAAGGAGGAGAAAGAGGAGGAAGGAGGAACTCCCTCCCACTGCTGGCAGTGTCTTACTATGGGGAGCTGGGTGCCTTCCCTCCTTTCCAGGCATTCAGAGCTGGACGGCTGACTCCAGAACCCGCCATGACCAGAGGCCCCTTGCCTTCATGTGGATCCTTGGATATTCTGCACAAAAATCACACATTTCTTTCCCCTAGAAAACAGCATTTTCTGCACAGGAAATTGAATATAGAAAATACAATAGTTATAGACTGTTGTATGCTCAACATTTGCATTTTTTGTACAGAAATATTTTCTTTGAAGGCATAGAAAATGCTGTTTTCTGCAGAGAAAATGCTGATTTCAGTGCAAAAGATTTGTGCATTTTGTCAAGAAAAAGTTCCAAACTATGAAAATTCTCATCAGTTCGGGATTCTCAGGGGTGACCAACACATGAGAAATATATTTTCCAACAATTTTTCAAATATGTTTGAATATTTTTTCCAGCCTTAGTAAGTGGACTTACTAAAGGGATGCAATTCAGCAGTGAGGTTACTGGCAAGTGCAAGTCAGGAGAAGGCAAGATTCATCAGGAGACATAGAGATAGGACGTTTCTCCTCAGAATTATCTTCCACCACAGCCACAATATTTTCAGCCTCTCTCTTTGTCTGGTCCCTCTTGTTTTGCTGGGGACATTGCTTCTGCCAATGCCTTTGCTGGTGCGGTTCCCCTTCCGTCCTTCTCTGTCAGTTCCCAAATGCAGAGACATTTCCATTTCAGCTTTCTTTCTCCCCTTTCCTTTCCTCTACCTTTCACTTGCCCAGATTTCTTTTGGTATGAACTCAGTACACACTTTCAACCAGCTGAGAGATTATCATGGCAGCAGTGCCATCTGTCTTTGGGAGTTTGTAACCTATATCAGGAGTAGCCTGTCCCATATAAATCCTGTTTAATATTTCTACTAGCAGAAGGCGAGAACCTGAATGTTTGTGTAGTCTGTTTTTCCTCTCCATTTCACTTTTTGTTTCCCTTCTGTTTTACTCCTTGCCTCCCTATGTAAAATTCTGTAGATACCGTATAATACAATCATCTTTGGTAATTGATCCTGTCGGGGTTTAACACTTAGCCCACTGTTTTTTCCACTAGGTGTGAGGCTCTGTATAAACCTCTGCTGCCACCAAATGTGAAGACTTCCATAAATCTCACAGTTACCACCAAGAGTGAGGGCTTTCACTTGTCCACACCTCTGTCATTAGTATAAGGTCATCCTTCTGTCCTACTGCTATGGCCACCAACTGTGGGGACCTCCTAGGTGCCCTCAAAGTAGCTACATGAGATATGGTGCAATTTATATTCCCACTACCCTTCTTTATTCACTGCTGCTGGTATGTGCCAAAACCAAGTGTCATGGCTGAAATCTTGGAGAGTATGCTGATCCAGCAAGAATTCCTTATATTTTAATAATAATAATAATAAAAATAATAAAATTTATTTGTATCCCGCTTATTGCC